AGGAAGGAAGGAAGGAAGGAAGGAAGGAAGAAAGGTTGGTTTTAAAAAACAAATGTTTAACAAAAAAGAAAAAGAGAGAGAGAGAGAGAGAGAGAGAAAGAGGGTAAGTCCTGCTTTCAGGTCTCTGTAGAGGCCCCAATGGGCCCCTGAACTAACAGCCTGGTTTTCCTTCATCTGCACATCAAGCAGACACACGCAGCCTGCTCTGGCCTGGGCTTGGCGTCTGATAGAGCATAATCATGTCTAGAGAAAGATAAATGATAGAAGGAGGGGAGATGAGCAATGTGGATGGAATGACCATGAGCCAGGGGTGGCCTTGGTTTCTGCTCCTGTCCGGAACTCCTGGGCTGACCACTGTCCTGCTGCACCCAAACCAGGATCCTCCAAGGACCCCTGCAGCTGAAAACTCAGGCTTCTCAAGATTTCATGACCATCCTTATAATCTTAAGAAGGAAGATCATCGGTCTACGGTGAGGAAGATCTTTCCACCATCGATATGCAATGACCTGGTCAACCTAAACCAAATGGAATTACTGGTGCTCACTCACTAGCTGTTTCCTGGGCAGCCCTGGGGATGTGGATAGACTTCAAGAACCCACTTCACACTGAAAAGACTCTCTTGGTCTGAAGACCCCAGGATCAAAGCCCTTATGAGAACCCAGGGGCTCTAGATTTACTCTGGGATGAACCATAAGAAGCCTACTCAAGGGAAACCTAGAATTGACCCTACCTTGGGGAAGAAGGAAGGAAAAAGAGGAAGAAGAGGAAGAAACAAATATCTTTAATGATTCCACATCTGGTATTTACCATAAGGTGGCTTCCATTCTTTTATAAGAACAGGAAACAGATTAAATGACTCTCCCAATGACATTTATTTATTTTGCAAATAGTTACTATGTACCAGGAACTGTTTTAGTTTCCAGAGAAACGTACACAACAAAAACTTCACATTTGTGGCGCTTACATTTTAGTTGAAGAATTTTGAACACTTTTTCAATTGTGACCCATGATAAGAAATATGTATTAAACTATCACAAAATAGGTACATCACATCAATATACATATACATACAAAAAATTTACATCTACATACTAACTGATCTTTATTGCATGCAATGCATTCTCTGATATCTTCTGTTCTTTTTATTTCTTCCTTTTTAAAAGTGGTCATAGCCAAATCAATTTTATGATCTAATAATGAGTCATGATCCACATTTTGTAAGCATCATCCCAGGTGGCTTGACTAGAATGTTACTATTTGATGCTGCTTCCAAGCCTGGGAAGTCTGTGCCTCTTCTTGTACAGCCAGGAACTGGAGGGTGGGGATGGGAGATGGCTGCTGTCCGTGGGGCCCAAGATGTCCCCCTTGCCTCTCTCCATACTGTTTTCTTCTTGCTCCCTGCCATCATGGCCAGCTTGATCTTTTCCCCCTGCCCTCTTTGTTTCTCCCACAGGCTGACGACAGAATACCCAGGCCACTATGGGGAGGAAATAGACATGATTTCCTACAACTACGATTACTACATGCGAGGAGCAACCACCACTTTCTCTGCTGTGGAGAGGTGAGATGGGGACCCCTTCCCCGGGGTCGGGGGCAGCAGAGGTAGGAACCGGTCCTAGTTGAGATCATGCCTGCAGGAACAGCTGGCTGGGCTTTCCCTCCCTGAGTTTCCTGCTCGGTCAAGGGCTAGCCCAGGAGTTGGCTGGACAGCAGGAGGAAAGGAGAGGTGAGCTGGTGTGAGGAGCTCTGTTCACAGGGCAGCTCCCCTGGGAGACGAGGGTGGATCCCACCTGCTCCCAGAGGAGTCCTAAACCTGGTGTCGCTTGATGTCCCCAGCTCTTCCCCACATTGATTTCAAAGAGCACTTCTCTCACCAAGCATCAAAAGAAGAAGGCAAAAATTGTTGGCAGAGTGTCCACTGTCACACTGGACCCTGTCCAATCCTGATGCTACATGACCCCCACTTTGGGAAGGAAGAGGGGAGAGGAGAGGCATGGGAGAGAAGGAATACAATGGCCTACTGTCTTAGTCGGTGGGTAGCTGTAACATAAAACCTTAGGCTGGGTAATTTATGAAAAACAGAAAGTTATTGCTCACCTTCTGGAGGCTAAGAAGCCCAAGGTCAAGGTGCCAGCAGATTCCGTGTCTGGGAAGGACTGTTCTATGCTGTAAAGGACGCTTCCTGAGTCCTCACAGGCAGACTGGACAAGGCAGCTCCTTTTCAGCCTCTGTATTAGGGCACTAATCCCAGGGGTGAGGGCAGAGCCCCTAAGACTTAGTCACCTCCCAAGAGACTCCACCTCTTAATGCTAGTAAACCAGGTTTCAGGTTCCAGACGATGAATCTGGGGTGAGGCACTAACAGTCAGACCCCAGGGCACCCACTAAACATAATTACAATGAAAAAGGAATACCTCAATCCTTGACAATGCTAGAATATTTTTTTCATGAAAGAGGAAACTTTAATCTAAAGAAGAAAGAAAAAAAATGAGCTTTTAAAATTCCCTCTCTCATGGTCAGCTCCCAACCCTATCTAGAATACATCAAGACAAAACAATAAGAAAACAAAAATCAAAATTCCTGCAGATATGTCCTTCCCCTGGAGTTCGGCCCAGTTCCACTATGATACAGAGAGGTACAGGGTATTCAGGGGTCAAAGATGGGCTTGCCTACTTTTAATAAGGTGGTGGTCACTCTGTACAGAAATGAATTCCTAGAAAATGACCAGTGCATATTTTGCAAACTGAATAAAACTTACATTAGCTCGTTAGATAACTATGCTGAATTTGAGTGTGACTTATCTATTGTGTATATTTATGTTTTCAAATGAGATTACACCTCCTTTTACTGAAGATAACTTATTTGAGATGGCATAGAGTTTTTTTTTGTTTTTTAAGAAAGACATTAAGTAGCTCTGGAAAAGCCCAGTAGACATTGAAGGCTCCATGAAGAACAAAACACCCACAGGAGAGACCCACAGTTATCATAACTTAACTCGCTTAGTTACCTATTTTCTAAAAAGAGCAACTTAGAGAATATTACTTAGAATGAAACCCGTTTCATCAATGAGAAGAAACAGCTGAATGATGCGACGCACAACAAAAATATTTAAACAAAAGGAAGGCGAAGAATTCAGTGAACAAGGGAAACTGTGTCATTGGGCAGGGAGGTGTTCCCCACAGTGCAACAGGCAACTGCCGCATAGTAGGGTGTCCAGTGCTCCTAACAATGTCTCCAGGTCAGAAAGAAATTGATTCTGCATTTCCTGGGTAAGAAGGCAGAAAAGAATACAGTACAGAGAGAAGGGCATCCAAAATGATTGCAAAATAAATATATTTTGGCAGTTCAAATGTGCAATTCCTGATGGTTTGGAAATGTTCGGTCTTATGGATAACCTAGAATCATAGAAAACTGAGGAATGCATCATTGCATTGTTTAAAAATGAATACCCCCCCCAAAAAAAAATAAAATGAGTATACCCATGCAATTTTGCTGTTGTTGCTAATATCAGCAACTTAAGGATCTCTAAGTTGGGTTTCTTGGCCCTTGTGAAGATGCTGAGGCCCAGGTTGGAGGGTACGGCCCAAGAGACTCCCTGGGCACCTGCCCGCCTTCATATGCAAATCATGGTGGTTCCCTCTTAGTAAAGAACTAGGGGCCTGGCACAACCACTGTGGACATCTGGAGACAGACAGACAGAGGTGTGTCCTGTGGTTCTGCATGTGAAGCCCACACATTAGATGCCACTAGTGTCCCATCCCCAGTTGTGATAAGCAAAACTGTTTGCAGACATTGCCAAATATTCACTAGAGAGCAAATGCACCCCTGGATGAAAACCCTGTCCTGGAAGGAAACCAGAGATTGAGCCTGGGGGGAGAGCTTGCTCCTCTGAGGACCAAGAATTTCTCATGGCATCGATTAGGCAATTAGTTAACTAAAAATCAGTTAATTTTTCTTAAAAATCAGTACAAATGCTGGGCCGTAAAGTCTGATTTACCTCTGTTTCTTGGTACATAGGTACGCAAGACTGGCCGCCAATCTGCTAAATATCTAAACAAGCCATGTCCCCTGTTGACATTTGTAGAAACACACACCAACGAATAGCTGATAGGTCATCCAGAGCCTCAGAGGCTTGCGCTGGGCGTCTCCTCCCTACTGCCCTACACAGGTACCTGGAGCAGTGGGCAGCGCTAGGAAGCCTGCGTGGGCTGCTCCAGCAGGCGCATCGTCTCCCCAGAACCGGTGGTCATCCCACTTCCCATTCAGAAGCTATCTCTGAGTCAAAGGATCCCAGGGTGCTTTGGGAGGGTTTGAATGATTGAATAAAGGGAAACTATTTTTGCCCTTTATCGGGACTGGGCAAAGGGTATGACAGCTTCGTCCTCTAGTGGGATGAGGGGCACCTTGCTGGGGGGCAGCATGGTGTGAGGTCCAGCAGACTTGGAGTCTGACACCATCACCTATGACTCGTGTTCCCTAAAAGCCATCACTTAGCCCTCCCAGCCTGCCCCTGCCCCTCAACCCAAATCACGTGAGATACTGAGAGAGCAGGCTGGGTGCGTTGGAGGGGCTTCCAGTCCCGTCACCAGTGACACTGTGTTAAATGGTGCTGGGTCAGCAGAGCGTCGGGCAGGGTGGCACCCAAGAGATTGTTATTAAATGGTTGAATGAAGACATGGCCCTGTTCTTAGCAAGGAACCTTCCCTGACATGCAGCCACACCATGGTTCTCAAAGGTGAGCAATTCTGTGTCCGCTTGGGCCCCTCCCCACTTGGACTCAAGGGCCATTCCATTTCCTGTGTTCCAGAAGGCAGGCCTTTCCTTTTCACCTGGGGAGGGGGGTCCTGCGTGGTCCCCTCCCTTCATTTCTCTGCTTAGTGCTTTCTTAGAGACACACAGGAGTGCAGGGTGGGCTGGCACAGTGAGCACTCAGTCAAGAGGGGTTCCACGAGAGCACAGTGGCCTCAGAGAAAGAAGGTTCGTCACAGCGGGAGGCAGAGGGTGTCAAACAAGGGCTTTCCCCACGCCGCTAGCCTCTGGTCCTTGAGGTGCTCGGGGCACGCTGTGGGGAGCTGGCCACCAGGGAGGAACAGGAGCCTCTGTGTGGCTGGAACCTCACTGTCCCCTTGCAAGGGGCAGCCAGGCCTCCCGCAGAGGTGTCGGTTCTCTGGAGACTTCATGGACAAGTCCTCCAAGGACACGGTGAGCTTTGGTGTCCCTGCACTCCCAGCTCCATCCCGTTCCCCAGCAGGTTCTTCCCCTGGTGGGTGACTCAGGGACGCTTCCCCTGGTGGGTGGCTCTTCTCACTGACGTTCCTTTCCCACTGTCCCCACAGGGATCGCCAGTGGAAGTTCATCATGTGCCGCATGACAGACTACGACTGCGAATTTGCAAACGCTTAGATCTGCCCCTGCCAGACCTGGGCGAAGGGAAGGGGCCGGGAGTCCCAGTGTCCTGCGTGTGACGTCAGCTGGAACCCCCCCCCCACCAGCTGTTTCTGCCGCTCTTTCTTCTCCCTGATGCGGGAACAGCTGTGCCAGCCGCCTGGGCCCTTCTCATGGCACCGCATTTATAAGGACATCCACAATTAAGCCGCGTTTCTCGCTTTCAACGTATTCCGTAGCAACTGTCTCCCATGACTGTCGACGCTCCCTGCCGGCACGTGCCCACTGGGCTCCCAGGCCGCCTCCTGGGCCCTGGCTCGCCTGGCTGCTGCTGTACTGTAAAATGAGCTTTGAGTTCAGCACAGTGACCCGGGAGGGAGGGAAGGAGAGGGCGGTGGGCAGAGCTTGGGGAGGGGTGTAGCACAGGTGCTCTAAGCTAAGTCTGTTGGAATGACACCCAGGGTGCTCACAAAGCAGGCCTCTGCCTTGAAGTGACGTGTTTCCACCCCCCTCCACAGGGCCTCTGTGCTCCAGGGGACCTGCAGGTGAAAGGGGGGGTGGAGGGGGTGAGGGCAGAGTTGAACCTCCTCAACTCAAAGGTGAAGGTCCGTCTACCACAATGAGGACGCGTGCGTGCAGGGGCCACGGAGCCGTAGAATCATGTCAAGAGAAGGTCGGAGAGTGGGACTCAGACTGGGAGCTTGGCGAGATGAGCGTGGCCGGGTCGCTCTGGGGAATGGGAAGTAGTGTGGGGTTACTGGCAGCCAGAGGCATGCCCAGGACTCCCGGGGGGGCGGGGGGGGGCTGGCACATGCCTGCATCCCTGGGGCCTCTGGCCAAGCCTCCTGCACTGGGCCTGGGTGTCTGGGTGGGAAAGGTGGCCTTGAGGATTCCTGCCTAGGTTAGCACGGGTGTCCTCTGCTGAGGTGAGACTCTCTCTTCCTCCCATGATATGTCTGTCCCTGGCCCTTTGTACTCTCTTCCTCATAAAAGGAATAAAAGTTTTAACATTACTCTGCTGCAAACATCAAGGGTCCGTCTTGCTCCCTCCCCCTCCCCTTTCTGATTAGTCATTCATTCATTCTGCAAACCCAGCTCGGCCTTGTGATTCACCCAGGACCCTGGAACACAAAGATGACGCTGGCAGAGTCGGGATCAGGTAGATAGAGTGCCCGGGGCTGGCTTTACCGGAGGATCCCAGAGGCGGGAGCACATTCTCTGCCTCTGAGCCTGGCTGTTTCTCCCCCGGGGCTTCCTTCAGCCATCCAGACCCGGATGTGTCACAGCAGTTTTAACCACAGGAAGCCCCTATTTCCTTGAACCAAACAGTTTGCCTTTTCCCATCTGTGCTGCCCTTCCTTCTTCCTCTCTACCAGGAACGGAGGTACTAGGCAAAACGCCAGGCATGCACCTTCCACACGCCCCCTGAGGTGGCCAAGATCACGAATCTCAGTCCTCAAGGAGGGTGACTGCATCTCCCACTGCCAACTCCCACCATCTTGATGGGCAAGATGGAGCTCACGGCGCCCTCCTTGGTCCTAACCGCTGAAATACTTTTGCAAACTTGCTTTATCTCCTCTGTCGTGGTTTCTGCCTCCCTGACAATTTTAATTTACAATAGGAAGCTTCCCCGTGTTATCCTTCTCAAAGGGAGCCATTAATATTTTAGTGCGTGCAGAGCTGGTTCAGGCTGAGAAGCAGCAAGGGGCCTGCACTGGGCTTGCGGAGCACAGCTGGCAGGGGGCCAAGCCCTGCTGCGGCTGCTGATGGGCTGACTGGGCATCCCAGGTGGAGCAGAGGGCTGGCGAGAGGACGGGGCGGCAGTGGGGCTGGGAGGGCCCTCGGGAGACGGCAGGAATACCGGCCAGGAGATAGACCCACAGGCAGTGCCACAGAAGAGGCTGTGCCAGACAGAGGACATGGAGTTTCCACAGAGAGACACTTTGTATGTAGGCCAAGGACAACGGCAGGAAAGCCATGGTCGGCTCGGCTGGAATGTGAATAATTCACACTTTACTGCTTTACATTAGTCAGCAGAAACTAAGTGCCACAGCAAGGCCTGAATCCCAGGTCCTCTGGCTGGGAGTTTCCTGTCTTTAGCTCTCTCCACAGTCTTGGGTACGTCACCTTGCTTTTCTAGGCCGACTGTCTAAAAGGAGGATATGGGTCTAGGTAACCACAGGCTTCCTAGCCATTCCGGGAGGCCGTGAGCTCCACCATCTGCCCTGAGTTGTTGAGAAGAGGATTTGCTCAGGCACCGTCCACCAGGGAGGAGCCTGGCACCGCAGGGGAGGATGTGGGCCCTGCCCCTGGCTCTGGCAGACAGGGGCTGCATAATGTTAGACAAATCCCCAGAGCCCTGGCCTCCCTCTGCCCAGCCTGGAAACGAATCCCTTCCCATACCCCTTCTCTAGATGGTGGCCACATGGAAAGAGCAGTGGGAAGAGAGAAATGACCCCTGGCTCCAGGGCCTGCAGGCTACTGAGGGGGAGCCAGCGCCCAGGGAAGGTGAGAGCAGCGGGTTCCTGAGGAGCCAGGTGGCAGTGGCCCTGAAGGACAAGCAGGACTTCCAGGGGCAGGGACCCACTGTGAGCTCTGGACTCCAGGTACCTGGGCACCCACATCCCCGCCCGCCACTTCCCAGCGTCCTGCGTGACCTTGGCCACGTCGCCCGCCTTTCCTGACGATTTTCTTACCTATAGATAATAACATCACGGGGTTAGTGTAAGAAATAAGTGAGATCCCAATAAATAAGTACCCAATAAACACAGTAAGAGAAGGCAAAGAGTAGTGTAAAGGTTAGGAATCAAGTCCTGGGAGGGGGATTCTCATATAGGCCTGTGATGAGGAGACTTTCATAAAATAGGAGGCATTAAGTTCAGCCTCATTCATTCCCTTGCTCCGTCACTGACAAATTAAGGTCATATCATATACCGGCCTCCACACTAGGCCCGGGTCCTGCGTTTCAGAGGATCAGAGAGTGGAGGAGTCAGCAACCAAACCACCTGGGAGGCCACACACCCGGCCCCAAGGAGGGAAGGGCAGCTCACATTAGCACCGTAAGACACACACACTAGCTTCGCTGTCAACTGTGATTTATTATTTTTCTCTGGAACTCAGGTATAATCTGGGGCCTCTTGGCTTAGAGATCTAAGGAGGAGGCATCCATCCCACACATGCGCACACATGAACACACAGCCCGCCCCGGCCCGGGCTGGCCTCCACTCACCCTGGCTCCTCTTCCACACGCGCTGTCCCAGTGCTCCTCTGCCAGACACACTCATGTCTCCGGACACGATTATCTCAGCACTTTTCCATGTTCCTTCCAAAGAACAATTCCCTCAAAACCATTAGCAGAAGCACAAACTCAAAAGCAAGAACAACACCCAAAGAAACCTTAAAATCCAAGACATTTCCATCTTCCGTGTATTTTCTTGTTCACCCTGAAACTGGGGGTTTCCCTGGACCCCAGCTGGTCCCACGTCCAGCTGCACCGCCCCGGGGTCTCCACTGCTGACCATCAGAGAGAGCACGCCCAGCTCAGCGCACTCACCCACAGTCCGCGAGCCACGTGGTCCACCGTGCACTCTCCTCTCCAAGTCTCAGTCGCTTCTAGCTGAACCACTCCTGTTTGGGTCTCTTTGAGGACAGCACGTTGACAAGGAGCGGTGCCTGAACCCTTTACCACCCTGGATCCGAGTGGGAGGTCAGGTGAGTGTGACCTGGACAGAATGGCGCCCGACCCGTGGATGAGTGGTCACGGCACCTGGTTGGTCGTTACTCAGTTTATTCCCTGGTAGAGCAGGGACAAGGAAACGCACCTGCCTCAAACGTCACTTTAGGGAAGGATAATAAAATGTTCACACGCAGCTCGGATTTTCCTTCGGCTTTCAACCTCTCCTGAGTGGAATATCACCTGAAGACTCCCTCCAACTTGAACCCTGTCCGTGAGGTGCCCCCGCGCTGAGCCCCCAGATCCACCACCCGGTGCAGGCTGAGCACCCACGAGGAGCCGGCTATCCCTGTGAATGAAGCGCCACTCGGGGACAGGGCTGAGGGGAACTGAGAGTGCACGGGATGCCCTCCCGAGGCTGCAGGTGCTGGGTTTCTTTGTTCTTCTTCAGACTTTTCTGGCTTCCTCAACTAATAAAAAGATTTACCATTGATTTTGTTTATAATTAAAAAATAAAAGCACTTTATAATCTTATGGAACAAAAAAAGTCACCAGCTGCCAAGCAGCTCGGCCCTAGGATGGTGTTCCAGCGGAGAGGTGACCATATGGTTACTTCATGGAAAGAATGAGATTATACCACCAGACCCTTTCATCTAACCAGCGCCCGGTGGGTTGTAATTTAATACGCAGAATTACCTGCTCTTTCCAACGGCTCTCGCCATCCCCAGAGACGGTGGGAACAGATGTTCTTCCTGTCATAGGCCAGTGAGAGACCAACATGTAGCTAGAAATCCCCCCCCAACACCAGTCCTGTGTGGGCCAAGCGCAGCTCTGCACGGGGACACTGCCCACCCTGCTGGCTCCCTGTGCACTCCACCTTCCTGTTCACCTCTGGAGGGCAGGAGTCCTGTCTCCCTTCCTCCTGGCAGGCTTCTGGGACCCAGCGAGGTGTGTTTCACAGCGGGCACCCAAGATACATGCTGTAGGATCATCCTCGGTTTTGATTGAGAAGACTTCTCAGAGCTCTAAGCAAGCAAAAATCGAAACTATGTGTTGAAACCCCTTAAAAACTGTGAGGTTCTACTCAGAGCCAGGTAAGATGACGAGTGCTCTGAGGGTCAGTGCCACCTCGTGCCCTTCCTCCAGCATCACCAGGGAACCAACAATTTCATCTTCCAAGCTGCCTGCTAATGAGGTAAGCTGGAACGCCCCACAGCCAGTCACACTGTCCCTCAGAAAGTGTCACCCTGGGCAGCTGCAGGCCCCTGTGCTGTCTTCATCAACTATGGCCCGTGTTGAAGTACACTCCCGAGCGGCTCCCATCATCCGGGCCTCGGTGGAGATGAGATGAGGCCTTGTGGACTAAGCCCCATACAGGCTGGGGCACAGAGCGGGCACGGGGTGGAGGGGCTCTGGCTGGTAGCATTGGTGACACATAAAGCAGAACTTCCAAAAGCAAAAGCAATCATGGGCTGGGGCTGGGGTCAGAGACGCTGCCGCAGAGGCCTGAACACAGTGCAGCCGGAGCCTGAGGAAGGGGCTGGAGGGCAGGGAGGACCCCGGGGCTGGTGCCTTGGTCCCCACCAAGGCCATTAGGCCACACTCAGCAGCACGCATGCACTCCGTGTTCCAGCAATCGCATACCCTGATCTATCTAAGCCTGATGACCTCCAGGATAG